CAGCAGTGTTTCTGCTGGTGGTCAAAATACGTGCAAGCCAGTCCGGCGGTGTGGCTGAGCGGTTGAGCGTTGACCCTGCACCAAGAGGTCGCCGATTCGATTCCCGGTCGGGACACATGCCCAGGTTGTGGGCCCGATCCCCAGTGGGGGGCATGCAGGAGATGGCCAATCGATGTTCTCTCTCATCAATGTTTCTCTCTCTCTCTCCCTTCCTCTCTCTAAAATCAATAAAGAAAAAAAATTATTTAAAAAAATATGTGCAAGCCAGACACCAACGATGACGCATCATGGCGCGTGGAGAAGGGGCAAGGACCCTGCCACGTTCACGGCCCAGCCTGGCGCCTACCGGCTGTGTGAGCTTCGGAAAGTTGCTTCACTTCTCTTAGCTTTAATTTCCTCTGCTCCAAAGGGAGGCTGATCAGCCCGCATCGCATCGGGTCACGGGGAGGATTAAACGGGTCGATACAGACGACGCACTTTGCACCAGTAGGTGCCCAGCCAGTGGCACCTGCGGTTACCCTGGTGGACTGTGCAAGCTGACCCCGTCTTGCGCAGTTCGTGGGGGCCTTGACCTGTGTCCTCTGCAAGCACAGAGCTGAGCCTGCCTGTGATCGGAACGTCAGGTGACGCAGCGACACAAGAAATGCTGGGGCACAAGCATTCAAGCCAGCGTCTCTGTCGTGCCCAGAGAATGGCTGGGGTAGAGACAACCTCTGTTTCCTCCCTTCTCTGGAGTTTTAGATCATCTCCCTGCCTCTGTGCCCTGCCTACCTGCAGCCAATCCCCAGTGATTTTTGGTATAAAAACAGAGAATATTAACTCTGAAGTTGTTGGCCTCAGTAACCAAGGGCAGTAACGTACTCAAACAGATACTGATTGAGTGCTCAGGGACCAGGGATACAGACGCAAACAATGACGCCATCATCTCTGTGATCCTGGAGTTTGTCCGGAGGAAGCAGACACTGAACAAAACGGTATGCAATCACGGCTAGGAAGAGCGCGGAAGGGCAGGAATAGAGCACTCTGAAAGGAAATATGATGGAGATCTCCGCACCATCCAATTTCACCTAAAAATTCTTCGGACGGCCTATGTGTAGAACGGACTGGAGCAGCCGTCCAGGCCCAGGTGGTGGCCGGGGAGCTCGGGAGTTGGTGGGGTCAAGACTGGGAGCAAATTTCCTTCATTTGCCTTAATTATCACAAAATGTCAGCTTGTAGCTTTATTTTTATTTTCTTATTTTACTTTTTTTAAATCCTCACCCGAGGACATTTTGGCATTTATCTTCAGATAGAGCGGGAGGGAGAGAGGGAGGAAGAGAGAGAGAGAAACATCGATGTGAGAGAGACACATCGAGTGGCTGCCACCCACACGACCTTTACTGGGGCCGGGGACAAACTGCAACCGAGGTCTGTGCCCTCAGTGCGGGGGGTTCTCAACCTTCCTGATGCCGCGACCCTTTAATACAGCTCATGATGTGGTGACCTCCAACCATAAAATTATTTTCGTTGCCACTTCATAACTGTAATTTTGCTACAGTTATGACTTGCCATCGGAAATATGTGTTTTCCAATGGTCTTAGGTGACCCCTGTGAAAGGGTCGTTTGACCCTCAAAGCGGTCACGACCCACAGGTTGAGAACCGCGGGAACCGAACTGGGGACTCTCTGGTCCGCGGCCCACGCTCTAAGCGCTGAGCCAAACTGGCCAGGGCTCAGCTTGTAGTTTTAATCGTTTTACAATGTTTTCTCTCTCTCATTACAGAAGATACATGTCATCCTCACAAAAGATTCCAAGTAGCTGTGAGGTTTGGGGCCAGCAGCTTGCCCTGCATGGGGTTTATCAATCCCTAAAACCCATGCGGTCTTCATTGTGGAAAAGCAGTGGTGGTAGAGGGTGTTGGCGTCAGGCTGTCTGACATCTCCCTGTCCTGCCATTTAGGAACTCCACGACGAAGCAAAAACATGCACAAGCACCAGCGTTGAAGCTTCCAATCAGTAGCAGAAACAGGTTTGACAACAGAGAGCCAGATTTCCTTTTCTTTACTTTCTTTCTTTTTTGCCAATGCAACGGGCATTGTCTCGGGCGCTCCCAGGTTGGGGCTCCCGGGGCCCGTGGCAGAGCCCTGGCTACCGGAACCAGCAGCGGTGCCCACCGGCCAGTGCCCGCGGGGTGGCAGCCCTGAGCCAGGCTGAGACGGACAGCACACGGGCTGTTGTTTAAGAGTTTCTGAGACTACAGGGTATGAAATGTTGCCTGTGAACGAGAGGGGGTTCCAGCTGGGGAGGGGACACTGGGGCTGGGGGCAGGGCTCCAAGGTCAGAGGTTAGGAATAACAGGGAGTAGGTCACAAGGTCCTTCGTGGCCCACAAGGCTGGGAGCTGGGACATGTGACAGGTGTGGGCTGGGCTTGCTTCAGGCCAGTCCAGGGTCCCCGCAGCGGGTTCCCTGCAGCGGCCACAGAGAGCCCACAGCCCACAGCACGGACCCCAGCTGGCAGTCTAGGGCGGGGTGGCGTGGAGCGGCCGCCACGGCTCAGGCCGCATTCCGCAGGGCGCTGCCCTGGGGGACGTCCACTAGCTGGAACTGGACGCACATCCAAGGCAGAATGCGGGTCCCTCGTCTGCTGGGCTTAGTTCTGTGGACCCTGTGACCTGACGTGTCGCGGACACACCGGCCGCTCGTGCTGCCGACGGAGGATGAGCCCAGATTCCCTGTTCTTTAAGTGCCCAGCCGGGGTGGCTCAGTGGCTGAGCATCGACCCTGCACCAAGAGGTCGCTGGTTCGATTCCCGGTCAGGGCACATGCCCAGGTTGTGGGCCAATCCCCAGTGGGGGGCATGCAGGAGGCGGTCAGTCGATGTTCTCTCTCATCAGTGTTTCTCTCTCTCTTCCTCTCCCTTCCTCTCTCTAAAATCAATACAGGAAAAAGGAAGACCTGTTGGCTCTCTTCCGGGCCAGCACAGCGAGAGAGACGGTCTTACTTCGAGCACGGGCTGCGGGAGCCAGGTAGGGCCCGGCTGCAGGCTTCCCCAGCAGGACGGCAAAGCATGTCAGCTCCAAACCACGGCCACACGGCAGGCTGCTTGGCGAGTCCCCAAGCCCTGGAATTAGGTACAAGGACAACTCCCTTGGGGTACTGGGGACGCTGCCCGAGTCCGCTGCTAAGACAGAGACACTCAGCCATGCGCTCGAATCCGTTGGCAGAGTTCCAGGTTCTACCCGGTTGAGTTCAGGAGGGCGGCACCTCGGTGACCCCTGGCCTGGTTTCCCATCACCTGGACAGTTTGCTGGGAGGACTCCGCCCTCCCACTCCGTTCACGGGGAGGAAGCCAGGGGACCAAGGCAGTTCCTTTCCCCAGAAAGGTTGGGAACTGTGACCTCAGAGTTGGTTGCTTTAAAAAAAAAAAAAAAACTTAAAAAAAATAGAGAACAATGCAAATGCTAATAGAACATACCCAGAATTAGTGACTATTTTCTTCCAAGGTATTCTGAGAAATTTTCCCCCTTAGAATGGCTCGGGCATCGCAAGGCACAGGTTGAATCTGCCATTTTGCTTGATCAGCCAGATTCCTTTCAAATGAAAATGTAGAACTGGAGCAGGATGGAAAGAGTTCTGTTTGCAAGAAAATGTACACAAGTGGACCAACCAGGTGACGCGTTCGACAAATGGCTATTGCCGTGTTTTAAATTGCGCTTGAAATCGGAACTATATAAAGAGACATTTAATTTACATGTTCGTTTTGCTGTTTTCACTTCCTCCTAAAACAGAATTTGTGTTTGTTTCCTGGCAGAAAATGTTTAGTTTCTAAACAGATCAGAGTAGCCCGGCCGGTGTGGCTCAGTGGTTGAGGGTCGACCCTGCACCAAGAGGTCGCAGGTTTGATTCCCGGTCAGGGCACATGCCCAGGTTGTAGGCCTGATCCCCAGTGGGGGGCATGCAGGAGGCGGCCAGTTGATGTTCTCTCTCATCCATGTTTCCACCTCTCTCTCCCTCTCCCTTCCTCTCTCTCTCAAATCAAGAAAAAAAAAAAGAGTAAAATTTCAGTTTACTCCAGTGACAGAGATTTAAGGGGGCTAAATAACTCTGGGAAATCGGAAGTTTTGTTGCCAAAATATTTATTTAAAATATTTTTATTGCATTTTTTTTTTTTTTTTAGGGAGAGAGAAACATTGATGAGAGAAGGTCAACTGGCTGCCCACTACTAGGGCCTGAGCCCACAGCCTGGGCATGTGCCCTGACCAGGAATCGAATGGGCGACCTCTTGGTGCAGGGGTTATGCTCAGGCCTCTGTGCCTCACCAGCCGGACTGTTGCCTGAAACTTTATGCTCATGTCTGAATCTCAAGTCGAGTTCTCCTCAGCGCTGACAGCAGTGTATTGTGTGACTGCTGGTCCATGACGTCACCTCTCGGGGCTACAGATCTAACATTTGATGCTTTGGAATAACTGATTATCCTTTAAAAAATTTAAAAAAATGTTTCTTCTTTATTGAGTTTAGAGGGGGAGGAAGGGAGAGGGAGAGAGAGATGGAAACATCGATGAGAGAGAACATGGACTGGCCGCCTCCTGCACGCCCCCCACTGGGGATCGGGCCCACAAGCTGGGCATGTGCCCTGACCAGGAATCGAACCAGCAACTTCTTGGTGCAGGGTCGATGCTCAACCACTGAAGCTCTACACTTGGGTACCTTGTTGACCAATCCAGTAAAGTGCTGGCGCTATCGGACAGATGACAGCGCCACGGGGAGCCCGTGACACCGGCGCGGTCCACGCTCAGAGAAGTGAGTCTGGACCTGATGCGTCTGCTGACCAGGGCCGTGACCGTGGGCCAAGGCCGGTCGCCTCCTGAGAGAACGGCGCGCGCCAGGCCCCCTGGTGGCGGTGGAGCCTCACTGCACACAGGGGGCGCACCACCTGTATCTGTGACTCCGCGTGGAAAACGACGCACACCATTCAGTTTTGGAAAATATTTATTAAAAAACTAAAGTGAATGTGGCAAAAAAACAAACCAACCAACACATACCTTTAAATAGCAAGCATATGACACGGTTATAAAGCTTTTCCAACTACTGACCTAGTCTTTCCACCAGCTGCGGTCAAGGAGGGCGTCCGGGGGGGCCCCATGGACACGGGTCCCCGGGACCTGCGATGAGCAAAAACTAATTACGTGAGGACTCTCATTGGCCATAGAACTTGCTTTCCTAGGTCACCCACCCCAAACACAAGGGAGACCAGGTCTTAGGAGTGTGCTCCCGGGGACCTGTAGTTCTAGTTTTAATTTGGGGGTGGGTGTGGGGGTGGGGGGAAACTGTAGAAAGACAAACAGTGTCAGTAGAGGGCAATCTTAAAGCACCTTTAAAACCTGGACCCTTTCCCCACAATTTAACCCGGCGATTCTCAGACTCCGAGTCACGGGCTCTCCGAAGGGGCACGCCCACGAGTCCTCCGGTGACCCTGCGCACAGTGGTCCGCCTCCCGGCTCGAGAAACACCGTTTAAAATGCATCAGAACAATTCCTATCCCCTAAACACAAAATGAAAAGAACCTTTTAACAGTCACTGTGCTTTGTGAATTTGGAGGGACCAACACAGGGGTGGGGGCAGGAAGGAGCCTCCGCTTCCTCACACCTGGTCTGCGGGAGACCGGGGCAGCCCGTCCAGGGCTGTGCAGCAGAACTGAAGCGACAGCACCGCGTCCGAGCGGCCGGCAGGCCCACGGCAGTCGTCCCAACTGAACGCACCCTGCTGAGCGGACGCGCCAGAGGGACGCTGCGGTCCACACCGAACGCGGGCTGACTGCTGGAGGCACAGTGACTGGAACACCCATAAAACCCTTTATTGGCCACGGCGCCGTGCCCACGTCCTGCCGGCGCGTCACGGACAGCAGGTAGAAATGGTCACGTTGATGCCCAGGTTCCCGTTGTCTGCAAACAGGTGCGCGATGGCCGTGTCGAACACCAGGCAGTCGCTGTTGACGATGGCCGCGGCCACGCCGTCGTGGATGGACCGGGGCGTCGCCTCCCAGGTCAGCCGGCGCCGGTTCCCGTTCAGCTCCAGCCTGTAGGCGAAGTTCTCGGCCTGCTTGCGGGTGCCGATGAGCAGGACGATGGCGAAGAACTGCTGGTGGCCCTCGTACTTCTCCTGCTTCTCCAGCACCAGCATGAACTGGTGGCCGAAGCAGGACTGCATCATGACCCAGTCGACGGCCCCCGGCAGGTTGATGTCCGTCGCCAGGAAGACGATGTCCTCGCCCTGGAGCGTGGTGATGCTCTTGTGGGCGTGCATGAGGTGGGACATCACGGCTTCCAGGGACCCCTGCCACTTGCAGGAGGCCCCCGGGCAGGGGCAGGAGTAGGGTCGGTACTCGCAGATGTCTTCATGCTCCGGCTTCTCCGTGTGGTGCAGGGTCAGCGAGCAGCCGGTGGTGGCGTACTGTGAGGACGGAAAGAAACACGTTGAGCCCCTGGCCGTGTCCAAGGTCCTACCGGCGCCAGCCTCCCCGAGGGTGTCCCCGCTCGGGCTCCCGGCCTGACACGGCAGTCTCATCTCAACGATGTCCACCCGAGAGGCGCTGGCTCTCAGAGTGCAAGTCCCAGTTCCCATCCACAGCCAGTCTGCCCTGCACAAACCCAGGGCCGGCGGGCGGGGACATGCCGCACCCCACACCCCGCAGACCTGAGCGCTCACGTGTGCTCAGGAGGAACATCTCAAACACAACTGCCGAGCCAGGCCCAGGGACCTGCCTTCCCCCTTATTTTCTGTGACTTTAATCATTTTTTTAAAAGAATTTAAAACTGCTTTGGGGTAGGGTTCGAGAGAAATATGTTACCTAGTTTTCAACTAAGGACAATTTTGAAAATACAGTTCCCCTCTCTCTCTCCGTCTCTCTGTCTCTGTCTCTCTCTCCATCTCTCTGTCTCTGTCTCTCTCCGTCTCTCTGTCTCTGTCTCCGTCTCTCTGTCTCTCTCTCCATCTCTCTGTCTCTCTCTGTCTCTGTCTCTCTCCGTCTCTCTGCCTCTGTCTCCGTCTCTGTCTCTCTCTCCATCTCTCTGTCTCTCTCTGTCTCTGTCTCTCTCCGTCTCTCTGTCTCTGTCTCTCTCCGTCTCTCTGTCTCTGTCTCTCTCTGTCTCTCTGTCTCTCTCTCTCCGTCTCTCTGTCTCTGTCTCTCTGCATCTCTCTCTCTGTCTCTGTCCCTCTCCGTCTCTCTGTCTCTGTCTCCACTCCCCCCTGGCTCACACTGGTTACTGGAGGGCAGGCTGGGGGGCTGCCTTCAGCTCCACGCCCTTGCCTGGAGTGAGCAACCTGTGGTGGACGGAGGCTGGGAGGCTGGAGACCACTCACGTGACCTCTCTCACCTTCTCTCACTCTTGAATCTTCCCGAGGGGCTCGGAGCATACCTCGGGGGTGAAAGGCAATCATACCCCAGAGCGCTTAACCAAGTCGGAGACGGCTGGCCTGTCTGGTTCCAGCCAGCGCAGGTTAAACTGAGCAGGGCCTCCCAGGCTCCGAGCCCTGAACTTTCCCCTCTTCCTCAGGCCCAGCTGCAGGACCAGGCTTGTCAGGGCCTCAGGACAGGCCCCGGAGGAAGGGACCGAAGTGCCCTGATGGGGCGCTGTCCTAACCCGTTTTCTGTCGCCGTCGGCCCGCCCTTAAACTACTGCCTCAATAGGCGACAAACACAACCTTGTCCTCTGAGGGTGACATTCCTGATGGATAAGCCACACCCATCCCGGGACAAGACCACACGGAAAGGAATCAGATGTCCCCCACCTTCACCGAAACGCCGATGCTCATTCCCCGCCGGCAGATGGACCAGCCCACAGGCAGGCACTTGCCCGAGTGTGATGCGCTTGTCTGAGGGGTGAGGGAGCCTGAACACCTTTTCGGGGGAAGCTGGAAGCATGCCTCAGCCCCCCGGGCCACAGTGGCAGGTGACTGTCCAGCTCACCCACCCAGACTCCCCCGCCCCTTTGAGACAGAGACACCGAATGAGGGCGGGGCCAGGCCGTGTCTCTAAGATGTTGTGTCCAACTGCTAAAAAAAAACCCCAAACAAAATCCCACAGTGTGTTTGCCTCTCCCTGCCCTGCCTTGGAGAATCAACCCCTTATAAACCTTAGGTAGGTCAGATTCTGACGTGTGCAGCTGAACTGGTCATCAGCAAGTGGGCACTAGTGACCTCTCCCTACGAGACCCCGAGCCGTGGTCACTGAGGGTACAGAAGCTGTGAAGCCAGACCCCACGCCCCTGAGGAAGAGGAGGCCTGGACAGAAATGCAGCTCCCTCCTCCCCTGCCTAAGGTGGACGGTGAGGATTTTCAGCAGAAGTTGGAAGAAATGTCAGTTATTGACTTTGCCCATAGGAATTGCTTACTCGTATTTTTAAACCATGGACTAATTTTAAAAGCATGGGTGTAAAAAATTTGATCAGAGGACAAACACGTTTATTTACCCATATATATTAATATTTTGTGTTCCTAACAAGTATATGGCCCTAATAAACAAATCCTATTAACTATGGGTTTTTAAATTTATTTTTAATCCTCACCGGAGGATATTTTTCTATTTATCTTCAGATAAAGTGGGAGGGAGGGAGAGAGAGAGGGAGAGAAGGAGAGAGACAGAAACATCGACGTGAGAGAGAGACATTGACTGGTTGCCTCGCGCACAACCCTGACCAGGGCCGGGATGAAACGCAACCGAGGTCCGTGCCCTTGGCCGGAATCGAACCCGCGGCTCACTGGTCTGTGGGCCGACGCTCTACCCGCTGAGCCAGACCGGCCAGGGCTGTTTTGAATCTGGGGTGCAGCTGGGAACAGAGCCTTCTGCAGCTCTGAGTGGCGGTTGCGGCATCTGTGCCCCGAGTGTAGAACACACAGTAACAGCAGCAAGAATTAACCCAAGCCCGGCAGGCCTTCTGGCCGAGACAAGCCCTCGATGCTCGGAGCTCCGGCGTCTCACAGGTGCTCGATACACCGGTGCTGAGCCCGCGGATGAGGAGCCACCCAGGAGCGAGCGGGCTGGGCAGTGTGCGGGAGGCGACCTGCGTGTCCTCCTCAGCCCAGGGCCCACCCCCCCACGCCCACCGACTGCGGCGCAGCCGTGTTCACGCCCAGCGACTTCAGACCCTCTGCGGTACCTCACGGCAGGGTATTTATAATCTGAATTACCCGGCTTGCCTTACATCACTTCCTGCAACCCAAATACAAACAGGGAACCTCCTCCGACTACGCGCCACCAAAGGCCCCCTGGCGTGTATGTGGGCGATGACTTTATGGACCGAGCTCCTGCAACAGCTCCCACGAATTAAATGAGCATTTTCAAGGGGTGAGGTGAGGTGCTTGCTCACGGTGCACTTTTTCTAAAAAGGCCGAACTTGAAGGCCAAACCACTCTTCCTCTTTTCCATCAGCGGAGGGCACGTCTTCAGGAGCACTGAGGCCAATTTTTAAATTTTTGGGGGGGGTTAATCCTTACCTGAGGATATTCTTCCATTCATTTTTAGATAGAGTAGAAGGGAGAGTGTGTGTGTGTGTGTGGCGGGGGGGAGACACATCGATTGGTTGCCTCTCCCACAACCCTGACCAGGGCTGGGGAGCGAACCTGCAATCCAGGTACGTGCCCTTGACCGGGAATCAAACCCGAGACCCTCTGGTTCACGGACTGACGCTCTGACCAGGAGCCAAACCGACCAGGGCTGGTGCCACTTTTATGGCAAACGGATTAGAGAAGATTCGGAAAAGGAAAGGTCTCAATGTGAGCCCTGGCTGAGTAGCCCAGATGGTCAGAGCGTCGTCCCCACACACCAAGGTTGCGGGTTCGATGCCCGGTCAGGACACATACAAGAACCAACCAATGAACGCATACATAAGCGGACCACCAAGCTGAGGTGTCTCTTTCCCTCTCCCTCTCAAATCAGTCCTTTGAGAGGACCTGGAGAGCGTGATGCTAAGCGAAAGGAGCCAGTCAGGGAAAGACAAACACCACATGATCTCACTTATTTGTGGACTATAATGAACAAGGTGGGCTGATGAACAAAATAGACCCAGAGACACAGAAAGGAGTAGGGTTCAGATGGACAGACCTCAGAGTAGGGGGGTGGGGGTGTTGGGTGAGACGAACCACAGAACTTATTTGCCTGTCTGCGTAACCAATAGACACAGACAACAATGCCGGGGGTGCGGGTGGGATGGGGAGGAGGGGGTCTGGGGGGAAAGGAGAAACATCTGTAACAAAAATAAATTAATAAAACATTGAGAAGAAACAACTTTAAACATACGCGCACTGACATGCACACGGACACACGCGTGCTGTCACGCTTCACGCGTGTCGGGTCTCGGCTCTGTTCTGCAAGACACCGTGGAGTTCCTGTTACCTACACTAGGGGCAGGGCCCGGGGATCGGAGGGAGGTTTTCGGGGCCTGTCTGCATAATGGTCGGGGTACCTCTGAGCAGCAAACCGAATCGCACTGGCCCCTGGGCTGTGTTCCCGACACGCCCAGGGCTCTGGAGGCAGAGGCCCCTGTCCCCAAGCCCCGAGGCAGCCGTGCAGACCCCGCCCTGCAATGCTGCCGGTGGAGGGGTGTCCCCCCGACAACAAACAGCTCAAACACAGACGCAGAGCCACGCAGAGAAGACGGGACCGAGTGTGGAGGATGGGAAGGGAGCGTCACTGTGGACAAAGGGGCTGTGGACGGAGCCGTTCCATCTGGTGACCCAGGACAGGGGAGCCAACAGCGGGATCGGACCTACATGGGCGGCAGGGACCTGACCGAAGGCTGACGTGACTTCAGGGTTTATCGGCATTTGAGACCGCTGATTCTCGTGCTGGAGACTGCTCTGCACGCTGTGCTCGGTGTCCTGAGGCCTCCAGACCTCTGCACACCAGACGTCAGGACAACTGCGCCCTGCCCCCATCCATTATGACTCCCAGATATGTCACCAGGCGGGGCCAAATGTCTCCTGGGGGCTACAATCACCCCCGTGGAGAGGCACTGATTTCAATGGTGATAAAACCTGGCTGGGCGGCCCAGTCAGAGCGGACAGGAGGGGCCGGGCGGGCAGGTGGGCTGCCAGCCCCCCAGGAGCAGGTCCCGATCGCTGGGAGGCCTGGAGTCCGCTCCCCCTGTGCTCCAGGCCGACTGGTCCAGGCGCCGGCCTGCAGGCCACCAGGAGCAGAGCCTCGCACCCTGCACCCCTCGGTTCCCTCACTACCCAGGACAGCTTGGGAGTCAAACAAAGAACAGTCTGAGAGAGAGAAATGAATTCACATCTGCCTCCATTCCCCAGCATCCAACCCCACAACTCAGGGACCAGAGTGCAGAGAGACACAGCTTATAGAAGCAGGTTCTAAAATTAACTCCTTTGGTTCTCAAAGGAGAAAACTGGCCTGGAAGCCCCCCAGGCAGGGGCAGCGCACCCCACACGGAAGTGAG